GTGATTCGATCCGTTCCTCATTGATACATACACACCTCTCACGTTTGTATCAAAAAGCACAGGGTCTATGCATGGCTGGTCGGTTTATAACATATACTCCGAGTTTTCTCGTCTCAAGTTGGAAGGGAAATGGAAGGTCTGCGAATACAATGACCGCTACGAAATATGCAATTCATACCCAACGCTCCTCATTGTTCCCGTCGATATCCACAAAAAGACGTTACTTGCTTCATCGGACTTTCGAACGAATGGGAGAATCCCCGTGTTGACTTGGTTCGACCAAAAAAGTCAAAAGGCGCTTTTGCGTTCTTCACAACCAAAGACTGGGTTCACTGGAAAAAGTGATGAGGATGTATTACTTCTTTTTGTTGAGGGTGGCGAATCGTATGTACAAATATACGATTGTAGAGATTACTACTCTGCTCTTGGAAACAAAGCGTTTAAACAAGCCGGCTTCGAGTCGACCTCCGAATATACATTTTGTTCGCTGGAATTCCTTAATCTGCCAAACATTCATAAAGTGCGGGAGTGTTCGTTAGAACTGTACAACTCTTTTCTTTCGGGTCGGGAATGTTTGTCAAATTTACACAAAGCTGGCGGCTGGATTCTGAACATTCAAAACATTCTCCAAGCTTCCGACAGTGTTTCTAAAATGCTTTCACAAAAGTCCGTGTTGGTCCATTGCAGTGATGGGTGGGACAGAACGTCACAAATCTGCAGTTTGTCGCAAATCATATTAGACCCCTTTTACCGAACAAAACTCGGGTTTGCAGTTCTTGTGGAAAAAGACTGGCTTGCTTTTGGTCACCAATTCAACCAGCGTCTTGGCATTAGTCACGACATTAATGCAACGTCTCCCATTTTCTTCCAATTTCTTCACTGCGTCCATGTCCTTTTAATTCAAAACCAAACTGCTTTTGAATTCAATGACAGTTTTCTTCAAACTATTGCCGATGAGCTAATCACCGCTAGGTTCGGCACCTTCTTATTTAATTCCGAGAAAGAGAGACGTGAAAACAAGGCTCCAAGCTCTACTCCTTCGCTGTGGGACGCGATTTTGGATGATCCACAATACACAAACAACTCATACAAAACCTTGGGAAACCGACTAATAGTGAACACTTCTTTGTTGTGTATAAGCGGGTGGCTTGGCTATTTTTTGAGGTATTCCCATCCAGACATCGCCAAACTCACTTTGTATTGAATTACTCCTGTTTTTTACTCGTTTTGTTTGCCAAAGATGTTCTCTCTCTGTTGTTTCATCGTTTTGAAGGTGTTTTTCCACTTTTTTATGCAAATAGAAAATATATTTTGAATGTTAGTTTCGATACACACACATTAGAGAATACTACTATCTGTATGTATATTCCAATATATCTTAAATTTTTTAAAAGTCAAACCACGTTGACCAACCCATGCTTGATTAAACACTTAACTCAATATCTTATTTCTTATGAATTATCATGGATCAATTTATGGGATCTGGTACTGAAATGAATATTGTGAAAATAAACTATAAGAATAATAACAATAGCTAAATAATACAATTCAGTTACTATTCTATTTTGGTCTTTTTTTGACGTTTTGTTTTGGATGGACTAAAATCAAAAAATAGCATAAGGCAAGACCTAGTAGACCTCACTACTCAAATTCGTAATATTTAAAGCATTTGTATTTAGCCTTATGAATATTTAAAGGGTGAGACCAACACGGAAAACACGCCGTTGACGTTGGTTGAATTTTAACCAACAATGAAAATTAAGTCAAAATGCAATAGTTGACGAACAGCGTGTGCAAACACTTTAAAACGTCCTGCAACACACTTTAAAACAGTTGGTAAATTGTTTCTCGTCATCAACAACTCAATTTGGCACCATCTCGAAAATCAGAACAAAGTTGGTTTAGCCAAGAGAGACTTTGTCTAATTGTCTTTTCAAGTAAAAGTGGACAGAAACACTTCCTATGACTGTTTGTATTGTCGTTCCACTCGCTCCACACCTTTTACGAATCCCGCTTATTTTTCAAAACTCGAGATTTTTTTCAACAACAGCTGAAGCAAAAAGTGCTCAGCGCTTCACCACAATATTATCTCTTGTGCGATCATCGGAGACTTTATTCTTGCACCGTTTGCCTTTTGTATAACATTTCATAAAACAAAATTTCTCCCAAAAGTCACGCTTTATTTATAGCACCATCTCGGAATCCAGAATTCCTTTTTTGTTTTTTCTTCACATTTTGTTGAAAATAGAACTATATAGTATAGTTTATTTATTACACATTATTGTTTCAAAATGTCATAAAAATTCATTATGAGTTTCCACGCTCTCCAAGCAAAAATAGAATAATGAGATGGTCTATGGATATCATAAAGTAATAAAGAGATTAGGTTTAACTTGTAAATCCTCATTTATTCCCAATGCGTACAAGTAAATGCCTGAAGACGGACACTCACTATGTCGACCTAACACTCGACGACCTCTACAGGCGCGAGGCCGATCACTCCGACGATCTGATTCGGACTTCCCCCAAGGAGGACTCAGACAAAATTTGTTGTTCCATTGATTTTCCATACGACAAACCTTTATCCCCACCCGCAAATAATTCAAAAAACATCAAATCCGCTAAAAAAACAAAAAAGTCTAAAAAAAGCACAAAACGATCGAATTATTTCCCCGATAAAAAATCAAAGAAACTTCAAGACGACGATTTAACAGTGACTCTCGACGTTCTTTCAACTCTTTCAGTTTCCGAAGAGGCTCCTGTGAGAAAGTCTTCCAGTGAGATTATTATGACACCACAAGGTATTCCAATCCATAAACCAGAACATATCTCGGGAAGGCGCCCTTTATCACATGAGGTCTTGCCTTGCAAAGATATTCTTAAGACATTGAAAAATCTTCCCGAAGCTAACCCATTTTTATCCCCAGTCGATCCTATTGCACAAAATCTTCCAGATTATTACATCGTTATCACAGAACCGATGGACCTCGGCACCATCACAAAAAAATTGAGAATGGGAGTATACGACCACATCGACGACTTTGCCGCTGACGTGCGACTAACATTCAAAAACGCAATGAAGTACAACCCCCCTCGGAATATGGTTCACGTCTTTGCAAAAACACTCCTCAAGTACTTCGATGACAAAATAAAGGAGTTGTACCATTCAAAATGTACAATCCACGCAAATGTTGAGAAACGTCACAACTACTGGAACGACAAACGTGAGTGGATAGATTTCCAAAAAAGTATATTCGAGTTGCAGGAAGAGGCGGGAATTGCTGCTATGCAAACAACCCAATTTCTTCCACTCTCCTTTGAGGAGAAATGTGATCTATCAAACAAACTCGAGGAAGTCGAGGGTGTCAAACAACAAGAGGTTCTTGAATTTCTCGGTAAACAAGACGCCGAGGGAGACGTGTTCATCGACTTGGACGATATCGACGACGAAGTCCTGGCCGCGCTTAATTCTATCGTCTCTCGACGTAAATGATTTCATCCATGTTTTTTGTAGTTTTCATTTTGTTTTTGAAAGTTCCCCAATTTTTTTCATATTGTTATTTTCAATTTGGTAGAAACACCCAATTCGTTCAGTTGGGTGTTCCAAGTGTGTATCGTCGTGTTTTAAAGAGAATTCGCAATAAGACAATTGATTTTTATGGAAAGGATTTGTAAATAATAATAACAATTTGTTTGTTGTTAATTAATGACAAAAAAATCAAAACACAATCGGGTATTTTGTAGAATCAATTATGAAGGTACTTTTGCATCAAGTGAAGAGTATTTGCTCTTTTTTGATGATTTTCTAACAAACACAATAATAAGAACAATGGCAACTACTAGAAGTAACACTACTATAACACTAGCGACAGATATGCAAGCAATCGCGGTTGTTGAAAGCCCATTTTCTTCGTCTACGGGGATGGAGTATGCATAGATATAGAACGACCGGTCCGTGACAGAATACCCTGTATTCACAAACCCAATGGAGAATTTGAATTTGTTTGAATTGACCACATATTTGACCCCGTTCGTGTTCCCACAATCAAACTGTGTTATTTCAACATCATCTTCAAAAAGTATTTGAAGGCCGGGGTACATATTATTGCACAGATCCAACTCAACCTTTGTGTTTTCAGGTGCATTGGCCTTGTACTTATATCCACAAAACCCTTTTCCATCGTTCATACTATAAAACGGGATCGTTTCGTACCTTACATATGGGAATATGTCGATCACCTGCTCTCCTTTGTTGATCACACTATTTTTATATTGGAATTCAACATCGACAACAGTGACATTCATAGATTTGAAAGTCACCAAAAACTGCATGTTATCCTTTTCCGACTCAAATTCAACAACACTGGCTTTGAAAATTGTCGTACTCATGTTGGGGTGCTTTACAGTAGTCTCGATATCCATAACAGATGAAATATTTATTGTCATAATTCCTTGCTTTTCCATTGAAAGTTTCACAACTGAATCGAAAATGCCTTCTGTTGGAAAAAGTGTTGTCGAGATCGTTTGTGGGAAGATGTTCTCCACAAGTATTGGTGCATCTGTAGTTCCTTCGAATGTTGGATAAAATAAAATGGTGTTATATGGGGTGTTAAATATTAAGTGAATCATGTGGACGTGCCCAGGCGATAAAACAAGATATACGTCGTTTGAGTCTTTTTCACATTCAGTGCCACACGTTTTGTAAAATTGCATTTCAATCGCCTCGGTCGCGGTGATGTGAAATGTGAGTTGAGTTTCATAGACATTTTCTATTGCAAGCCACGCCCCAGTCGAGTTAGTCTCGCCGTTGCAATCGATTGTGTCAGGCTCGAAGGAATCCTTATAGATGGTAACTGAACTTTCAACAGTAGAAAGCGGTGAAAACGTGTATGGCGACTGACATGTATATGACAACGAAAGTCCAAAGAGAACAAATAGCACAAGTGGCTCCATTTGCTTTTTACAAATTTTCACTTCTTTTTTGTTTCTTTTTCCTTCACACAACTTTTCGAAGATGAAAGAAGATGTCGAATTCTTTTTTTATTTTAAATTTTTAATTTAATCAACAACTATTTGATTTAATAATAATAGTAATTATAATTTTATTATCAACTATTACTAGTACCAAATTTTTAGTTTATGACATACTATTTTATAGTACATATTTTACAAATTGATTATTTATTTATTAGTTAGTTATTTAAGTTTAATAATAAGTTATTATTAATAACAATGAATTTTGTGCGTGTTTTATTTTTATTAGTTCCAAAAAAATGTGTTTTAATCGACACAATCCACACTATTGAATCACAACATAAAAATGGTATATGATGTTTAATTTTAATGTTTGAAAAAATACAAACAATATTAGAAACAACAATACAACCAGTAATTATCGGTTTTGTATGAACAGTTTTAAGTAAAGTTTAACATATTTTTGGGACGTTGTTAAAGTAAAGAAATTCTTCATTGCTTGCGTTCGTTGATAAAATCAAATCCAATGGCAATTCGCTTGTGTGTAAATTTGAACATTGTTGGAAACAATGGTTTCCAACATTAATTGGTAGAGTTGGAATATTGATGTGCTCTAACTTACAACAAGATTTGAAACAACAATCGCCGATTTGGGAAATATTTTGTGGGAGTTCTACATGTGTCAGATTTCCACATTCACGGAAACACGAACTTCCAAGTTTGTTCAATTTTTCTGGCAAAGACAATGACCTCAAATGAAGACATCTACTAAACGCAGAACTTCCAAGTTCGAGGAGTTTCTGTGGAAATTCAAAATATGAAAGTGATGTGCAGTTTCCAAAAGCAAAGTCTCCAATATGAGAGAGGTTCTCTGAGAGTGTGACTGATTCCAAAGACATACAGTTGTAAAAACAAAACATCTCAAGTGATTCGATATCTGGTGGTAGTTCAAGAGCGCGGAGAGAGCTGCATGAAATAAAGGTATGGCTTTTTAAAGAAGTAATGTATTTGGGCAAAATTACTTTTTGGAGTGATTTACATTTGTTGAAGACAGAGATCCCGATCGAGGTCACTCGATTGGAAATGTCGATTTTGGAGAGTTGTTCGCACTCAGAAAAGCTGTTTTTGCCAATCGATACAACACTTGTTGGAATTATAACTTCTGTTGCTTTGCTCCTATAGAAGCAGTAATCACCCAATGACTTAACACCATTAGGAATTTTATCGCCAAATGTTATTCTGTCCTCTTTTGTGTAAACCACTCTTTTGTAAGTTATTGAGGGATCTTGTTGTTCTGCAACTGTTTTGTAATCGACTTCATATTCCACAACCTTTTTAATGCTTTCGAATAACTCGTCTTTTGAACAATAAATATGTTGAGTTTCCAACCGCGGAAAGTACTTCCTAGTTTTTAAAGTGAGGGAAATTGGGTTGAAATGAAACCTCTCAATATTTTCTCTGTATTTTTTACAGACAAACATAAGAGACACAAAGTCAGAAAACGTTTCGAAGTATTTGGAAATGATCATCATTGAATACACATCAATCATCCCCATTTTAGTTATTTAAAGCGGTTTGAAATACTTTTTATTGTATAAAGCAAAGACCTTTTAAAAGTCAAAGTTTGAAATTGTTTAAGTCTGAAATTATATTTTGAAGCTAAAGTTGTTGTTTTTGTTAATTAATATTGGAATAATCAGGGAAACTTTTTCGAAAAAAAAGAAAAAGAAATTAAAAAAAGAATCTAATGAATTTAAAAATACTTTTTAATAAAGAATTTTCTAAAAAATCAAAAGTGCTTCTGCTTGTTGTTGTATTTTTCTTGGGAAAAAGTCAAAGGAAAAATACAAGAAATAATTTATTTTTTAATTTATTTTAATTATTAAAAAACTATTAAATTAATTAAATTAGTAGGTTACAAACTATTAAAAATAATTAATGTATTTTTATATATTATTGATTTTTTTATTATTTTTTAATAAATTTTTAATAATTTATGTTTTTATAATTCAATCTAATTTTATTTTTTTGTTTTTGGTGTTTTTTTAAAAAGAAATAATGGTTTAACAATAATAAAGTGCCCTTATATTTAAAATAATGCTTGATTTCCCTAAAATTTGGTCAAAATACGCAACAAATTAATTTCGTCACAAAATTGTAATTATGTTTAGATTTGTTTTTTAGATCTTCAATAAAAAAAAGTTATTATAAAACAAAAATGATTCGAATTTAAAATTTTGAGTTACATCAAAAAATACAACTTAAAATCACATTATGATGGACTTTGTAAATGTTGACAATTATTTAACGATTAAATCAATTTTAAATATAAATAGTAAGCCCACTGAAAAACCAATTACAACTAAATGTGGATAATTCAACGAACACCATTATTGAATGATTGAAGTGTTTGTCATGATATGTTATAATTTAACAATCACATCTTATTATAACAAATTGTTGAATGAAATAATGTTGAACTTTATTACATTATAAATACTATATACTTTTAAAAGTATGTACTTCTCAGTTCTTTTTGAATGTTTTGAATCACCAAAGTAAACCCACCATTTTTTCTATTTTGTTTCAGAAAAGCGTGGAGGGGTACACATAAAGTATGTAAAAAAGTGGGATTTCAGGTTGTATTTACATTTAAATAATATTATAAGTTGTTTTATTATAAGAAATAAGACTGAAATTCGCAAATAATATGTTCTATACATAAAGAGCCTTATCTTTAGTTGTATTAAAATATACCAAAACAGTAAAGAAGTGATTTCAAGTAATTAACGGAGAACTAGAAAAAAATAAAATGTCTCAACAACAACTTACACGTTTGCTTCAAGAAAAAGAAAGATTAATGAAAAACTTCGAGCGGTCCAAAAACCTGATGAAAGTTTCCGAGGCATGTGCGTCTATAGTCGAGTTCACAAAAAGCAAGATCGACCCATTCAGCCCCGAGTATAAAGACTCAAACCCATGGGACAAAACCAGCGAAGGTGGGTGCTGCGGTATAGTCTAACGAGTGATAAATGATTTTCATGTACTTTTTCACTGCTTTCTTACTTCCAACATCCCAATTTTGTTCTGATTTTTTTGTACTATTCATTATTTACAAAGTATTATTAAAAAGTCATTTGAAAAAACGAATAATTGTACTATATGTATTTGGTTAAATTATCAGTAGAATTCTTTTTTTTAAAATCAAAGATGAACTCAAAACTAATAACTGTAGACACAAATTAGTAATTGAAAAGCTCAAAAATGTTTTTTTAACTAGTTGGTTTTATTCTAATCTGGATTGTCTGAATCCAAAATATAATTTCGACAAAAAAAATTATTATATCAATAATATATATATTTTA